CTACATTACAAAATTGTCTATAAAAGTGCACTCTGTCTGTGAAGCGAACCAGCAAGCACAGGACTCCAACTCTTATTCTAGCTGACAACAATTTACTACCTTTTCTGCTTAATTTGGAAATTTAGTGGGTAAACGTGGGTGCTTTTGCTTTGCAAAACCAGGTCCTAATTTTTTGATGTAATTGCAGAAATGGAAGTTGATATGCACCCACTTATACTTAATAACATCATGTAAAACGCACTTTTCAAACTTAAGCATACGATGCAGTGCTTAACAGCACGTAAGAAAGCAGCAAGTGGTATTAGTGGCATTGGAACATCTCCATTTTAAGTTTCTGTTTGTTAATATCTACATTATATAAGAAACCACACACAGACACACAAATGAGCTGACTGTTCCATGAAACTGCACAACTATGAGGCAACTTCTACCAGAACTTAGCAAACAGGGATTGATTGTTGTCCTAAGACATAGGAAAACCTCAAATGTTAATAATGTATTTCTTACTCCACTCTGTTGTCAATAATGCCACTTCTTATGCATTGAAAACTCATGTTTCCCAGCTTTCCTGTGGTTTTCCCCAGGCTCTCTACAGTAGTATAGAGTCACACAATCTATTAAGTCCTTCTTCCATTCATTTCTAAGTGACAGGTTTTCGGCACTTACTTTAGCTGCAGACTACACAATACTTGGACATCCCTTTTGCTGTGCCATCTAACGGTACACAGGCATATGGAAAAGTTGCAGTAGTTCACCAGGGGACGCGAAAATACTAGAAGTAATTTTTAGCTTACACATGCAAGTGATAATCAAGGAAAGCAAAGTTTAGGAAATTGATTTTTTTTTACTCACTGGTTTGCTTCAGTCTGCAATAGATTCCCCAAAGCGGAGCTGTGAAGTATTTCAAACTGTACTGATTACGGTCAGGTTCGTGGCAGTGTCAGGGACACAATTAAAAGGCAGGTGACTCCAGTAAATGACAGTGAGATTGGACTAACTAGAGTAAGCAGATGTTTTGTTTTGTTTTTTAAATCACTATTGCAAATGGGTCCAAGAAATATTCTTATGTAAATGCTGTCCTGTAAGGTTGCCAAGGTCAGTATATGCCACAGTGATTGCCTTGGCATGCAAAAGTGTCTTAAGCCTCTTGAAATCTATCCAGACTCTTCACCTCTCACTTAAAAATCTGCCTGGTTAAACAACTGGAAGGCTGGCTCTGCTACTAGGCACGTCAGCAGATACTTAACAGGTAAAACTCGGGAGCTTCAAATGAAATAAAGCAGTACCGAGGTTCTACTCCATCCTTGGACACCTACTGAGGACACTCCCAGCTAAGCTAGTGCCAGCTGGCACCAAGCTCATTGTTCTGAATTCAGCCAGGTACCCGCAGTATTTGTCCAGGATAAGTGGTTTGGGGACATGTATATTTTTATAATTTCTTGTTATTAATAGTTTTGCATGTCCTAAATATAAATCTGCGGTCTGTAAAGTAAAAAATTTAAAGCTTCCGTGCTTTAAAATTTAAAAATGGAAACTTGACAGGTAACCTACTACAGATAGATTTTATTTGTATGATGCTTTAAATTGTCTGGGCAACAGTGGGACTAAAAAAACCAAAAGAAGTCAGAATATGATGGTATTTCCCATGAAAGAAATACCAGATTTAGAAAAAAGATTTATGTTTCTATCTATGCATTCCTGTTTTACAAATATCTATTCAAACCCTATAGTTATGCAAAGTGTGCCCATCCCTGTGTGTGCTGTCAATTAAGGGACAGTGTCACGGCATATAATTTACAAAAAATTGTCCTAGCTTGAAATTTGTTTCTCCTTAAAAAAAAAATCTCCTCTAGAGGGCAGCAGTAAATCAGTATTCAATGACCAGGAAATCTAAGCTCTAATACTCCTTTATAATATATACTAAATTTACAGGCTAATAAGGCACAGTTATATTGACCAAAGGCAGTTATTTACCATTACAATAAAGCTGGAAATTTCTGGCATCTTAATGTTTTAATTAAGCTATGCATTACAAATGGGTGAGTTCTTTCATTCTGGCCCAAGAGTTCACTATATTTGGCTGATTGCAAAACCATGTGCTACGTATCAAAAATTCAGAGACAGCGAACACTGCAGACTGGGATCTTTGCTGCCGTCGTCTCGTTCAGCGCTATTACAGCCAACCCTGTCGGGCTCGGGTACAGCAGCTGAAACGGGACACTGAGCTTTACCGTGGGGGGAAGAGAAGAAAGTAGCCAAACTAGGACACAGGCTTTCTGCTGTGAAAGCCTTGGTCATCAAAACATGCTTCCTGGGTAGTGGGTTGCTATGGCAACCTTAAAACCACGGGTAGTGACCCGCGTTGTTCTGCATGGATTACTTCCCATCATTGCACAGGATGGCATGAACTGCTTGAAACCTCAGCACGCGTTTCACCGCTTTGCTTAAGGATTTCAAATACTGAGTTAATGAAATTACAGAAGACAAAAGCTCACCTAAATATTTAATCTATTGGTTTCCTAAAAAGAAACCACATCAGAAAGTCTGTTACCGTTAGAAGAAACTTTCTTATTTTTAAATACACAGGAGAAAAATTCATACGGAAGTAAATTCATCACCATTATATATACAGCAAGTGTTAGAAGCAGTGTATACAAGAAAGGCGGCTCCCCCCATGAGAATGAAACAAAGCAGGTGGCAGTGTCTTGATTATTTTTTTTTAGAAAAAAAACCAAACCAAAACTGAAATCCCAGTGCATTAAGGCTTGGAAACAGTTTCAGTTTGGAATCAGACTGGGTTTTCTCTGCCACCTGTTTCATAACCCAGAGAAAGATTCCTGAACTCGCTGGCCGAGCCCGTTTCAGCTGCAGAACTCTAATGAATCTCACCTGCCCCCATCAGCACAGGCCAAATCATCGGGTTCACGCTCTGGCAAGGGCTCCTTCGAGCTGCCAGCACGCTGCGAGCACTGCAGTTACTGACATGGGGGTTATTTGGCCATGTCCGTCCGTCCGTGTGTCGTCCCCCGTCCCCCCCCAATCCATTCCCCCCAGAAGCTCTAGGGAGCGCTCCCCATGCTTGCAGTGGGGTGCAGCATCACCACCACCCCTGGAGCACCCGGGACCAGGACCAACACAACAGGGGCGAGCAGCAGCTCCGGCCCTCGTCATCTAATGCATTTGCCATGTCTTGGGGCAAAGCAGCCCTGCCTGCAGAGCCTTGGGGCTCAAAAACTTTTTAGGGGTTTCACGTGAGTTCTTCTGCCCTCAGGGACTCAGTTTGGGAACTTTGCTTCCAAAACGGACTAGGCTGCGATATATGTTAGAGAGAGGATGTTGGTAGTAATGGGGAAGATGATCATCAGCTACAATTTTAAATAGAACAAACCTTAAAGAAAGCTGCTTATTGGCTGCTCCTGGGCAGCAGGCAGACGCGGTTATCTTAACATCATGGCAATCACCATGCTTTCATGGTAGGTTAAATTAGACTAAGGAATTTTGCTTTGTAAACTAGAAAACAAAGATAAAACATAAATTTGGCTGGGCTTCGGATTCCCCCAAGATCAGTAACTTCAGTGTGTTACCCAGAATGTCTACTGATGAATCTGTGCAGCTAACATACTAAATATTTTAGTGATCAAGATGAATCAATTGCTCAGTCTCAGAGTGACCTACATTTCATGAGCATTAGCAACCTCCCTGTCAATCATCTTTATTGCTACTGACATCTAGTGGTAACATTTAGCTGCATCTCTGAATTCTTGTACAACAATCTTACATTCTCGCAAACCAGAAAAAGAGAGCTATTTCCTAGGGGGGAAAAAAAACGCACTACGTTTTGTGAGAGGCTGAGATAATTACTGAGTTTTGAGTGAGACTGCCAGTACTACCTAGTAGTAAATTTTATCTTTGTGAGCTATTTGCAAACTCAAAGTATTCAAAAAGACCCACATAAACATTTTCATATGGAAGGAGAAAATAATCAACTGGTCTGGCATGAATTTGCTGAGCAAAGCACATCTTCTTTTAACTCTTCCCAGTAAGATCATGACTGCTCTGAAACGATTTAAATAACCCACTATTCTAAATACGTATGTGGAAGGCACATGGGAGTCTAAACAGATTTCCTCTTGGGTGCTGTGCAATCGATACAAAAATCAACAGTTCCCCTAATACAGTCTGTTGATCGGCACAATACGATCAGTAAGAAACAGCGAATTCAGAATATAAAGGCCAAATGGACTGATCTCAGCGGAGGACTGGGAGTGCGGGTCCCAGCCACAGCCTTGCCCTGGGGTCGGTACCTGGCTCTGTTCCCGGGAGCTCTGCTTTCCACGGGTCTCAGCGGCTTTGGTGATGGACGGGGTTGGTAGGCTAGATGTACCGCCAGCAGATCCTTGGGGATCTACTGTCCTCATAGCCGACATGGCAATAGGCACAGCATCCAATACCTGCCGGCGTTTCTAATGGAAATGACGGCAGCAGAAGTCCAGCGAAGCTCCTGCAGACGGGCTGCCGAGCTGTACGTGCGCAGTAAAGTCAGATGTCCTGAACATACCAGACCTGCTGCAGGTGCATAGATGGATGTCCTTTGTGTGTGCTGGACTCGCCACGTTCAGGACGCAGAATAAAGCAATGCAGAGAGGACATTTGCCTGGGAGTTTTCGAGATGATCACTGAGAAGTTTGGCAGCTGAGGCGGTAGCGCTGATGGGTACAGATACCAGCCGTGGTCCTGGGCTAGGAACGTAATTCTAGCCTTCCTCCTTGACCGGCATGGAAATGGCGTGAGTGGTCAAGGCTGCGCCTCGGGGACGGGGAAGAACAACCACAGTAAAGAGGTTTAGTAGGTTCAAAAGAGTTGTCTTCCTTCATTATGAGCAAATGTCTTGGGTTCTGCGGCAGCAGAGGCTCTGTGTTGGGAGGGGGACGGCTGCCGTGCAGAGCGGTTAGAGCTATAGGTAAAGCACTGTTCTGGTATTCTGTATCAATGTTTTGCAGGCCTGGCAGTGGTCACAGTTGATGCCTACAAGCACTGGATATTCCACAAGTTGAAGACGGAATACTGACTTGTTTACCTGAAGATAATAGGACTTCGGGGTATTTCCTCAGAGAAAATATAAATTTTAATATAATTTCATAAGCTTTGGAGGTTAGCTTGTCTTGTAGCTTCAGTGATATCAAACTTCTTCAAGTAGGAGCTAGATAGAAAGCTGTTTAGTTTTTGCCAGCGTATGTAAAACAAGACTTTTCTATCTGCATTGTAGATTGTTTGTGGACACTTCCAGATTCTTGTGCTTTCTGCAGTCATTCTGGGGACTGAACTCTCATTGATATCGATAGAGGTTCCATGAACAGGACACGTGCAGGAATTTGAGTGTAGAAGCCCACAGCGTGGTTTGGAGTAGTGAATTGCTTTTAGTTTGGAGACGACTGGGGGAGATGGGAAGAGCAACTGTACGTTAAGGGAACAATTACAGATCTTCTTCCCGGTGACGTCAATGAGAGATTTGCCTTCAGCCTTCCACAGAAGAAGATTTTTAGCTTTAATTTGGGACAGTAAAGGGGTTTTTCAAAAGCACTAAAAGCCAGTGGGAGCTTGTTCAGCTGCTCCTTATGCCTTTAAAAACCCCTACACCAAAAGTGATAGCTAACAACATGAAATGGAAGTAAATAAAAATGCATTTTCATTGCTGTTTTGAGTTACATAATTCTTGTTTCTTGATTTGTTAGTTGATCTGAATTTACATCGATTGAATCTATATGGTGACCGAGAAAACGGTCAGTAACTGGTAAAGGTGCAGAGTATGACCACAAAGCAAGCAGGGCGTAGGTGTACGACCCTAAGCAGCTAACAAAGACAGGTAACAAAAGTTCACTGCCTACAGCCATAAATCTTGTGTGTCCACATCTACCAAGCTTGATGGCCATTTCAGCCTTGACCAGCAGATAACAAATGCTCCCAGCTGACTAAAAGCGTAAGCTCAAGGACAACTAGGACCCAGGCACAGACCAGAAATCACAGACATCAGTCAAACATCACCCTACCTGCGTGGAGCACTAAGCATGTTCTACTGTTCTTCAGAATATTGGAGCAAGAACTACCTTGTGCTAGGTCGGCTCGTACAGGGCAGGTTGCCCCTGGACAGTCACATCCCTCCCTCGTGTCCTCTCTGGCAGTAGCTGCCATAAGAAATCCAGTGGAACAAGGATCTAACAGAGGGTTTGGATCTACTCAATACACCAAAAATGAGTCCCTTCTATATTCTCGAAGATCAAGGCCACAAAGAGCCCTTACATCATCTGGTTTGATACCATGGTCAGGCTCTTAATTTCACTTAGGACTCCTACACAGAGCCTAGCAACTTGTATTGGGCTCAAGTATTTCCTCCAGAAATGATCTGTTAAATCAAAAAGGCATTACAGTGATGGGGATTACATCACTGGTCTGGTTAGGATTAACCCGTCTCACCATTGAAAATCCATGGCTTACTTGATTTGATTTTGTGTAGTTTCAGCTTCCACACGTCAGATGGATATTTGTACATCCTTCTCTGTTCCATTTAAGAACTTGTTAATATAAAGCATCTCCTCCCTGTAAAGGAATCTGATTGCCTCTTGATCTTCATTGTAAGCTGTACAGACTCAGCTGTAAGCCATTTTCTTCTTCCCTGAAATAATTTTTTATGGCCTTTTACTGCACAATCTCAATTTTTTTCAATATCTTTAAAAGCGTGAACAGTGGAGTAGTTTGCAAATTTTTAATTGGTCTCACTTAATGCCATATGCAGGTATCAAAATCGTAATCCTCCTTTTATTCATTACCCTGCTCTGCATGGGATGTGCCCGGGATGAGATAATTTAAAGAAAGACCCAAAAAGGGGAGAGAAGGAAGAGGACAAGAGCAGTGTGCAGAGTTACAGAGTTTACAATTAAAACCACGTAAACCAAGAAAAATCAAACACAAATTGAACCCTACAAACCAAGACAATTAAATACTCCAAACTGCCAGGTTTTGGGAACTCCAACAGCAACATTGTGTGCTCTGTTGTTTAAAAAATAGGCTTCAGCAGAGCCCTCCGTGTCCTGCAACTCTCTACGCTGAAAGTATTACTGTGTTTTTGTGTTTTGAAATTTTGCAGTGGAGGTTTCTTGGGGAATTTGGGTTCCACAGTAACAAAGCGCTTGTACATCTTCAGCCACAGCCCCAACATGACCCAGAGGTGCTTCCTCTTGGGGGAGAAAAAAAAAAAAAAGCGCTTTTCTTGGATAGTAGTGGAAATATCCACAGGTAGTTAAGGTTGTTCCGTTTAGCCAAAAAAATTGCTATTTCCATCATATCAACAGCGGGTAGCAACGAAAGGAGGTTGGCTTTGTTTCCTCTGCAAGTCCTTCTCTTGTTTGCCCAGATGGTATACAGCAGCTTCTCATTTCTAGGGCTGCATCCTTTTTTTCTTCTTTGTTTTCAGCCAGTTTTTTTCACCCTTTTACATGTGCATGGGCAATGCAAACACAGAGTTGAGAGCCAAATTAGAGTAGGGATTTCTCCCTCCTTCATGCGATAAGGCACACGAGGCAACACGCTGTCTCAGTACTGTTAGTTCACGCAGCCACGTTAGCAGTGAATACTGTTCATTCCCAGCTACTGTCATTGAATTTATCAAATCCTGATGTTATCATGCGTATCTTACGGGTTTGGGAGCTTTACAATATTTTCAAAGTCCGTAAATGACAGAATCCAGTATAAAAAAAGGTCAATATATTACTGTTGAAAGTTTTTTTTTTTCCTTTTTTTATACAAAAATTAAAAAGATCAAAATATATCACATTATTTACATATTGCGCTTCATGCTTAGAGATCACTGAAAAAGAACACACAGACAAAGATTTTAATCAAAGAGAAATGGTCCGTTCGTTACGCTTACTAATCTTATTGTTAATGCTATAAGGATTGGCATTCAGATTTCTTTTCATATTAACAGTACATCCAAACGACTCACCATGGAATTAAAAACTGTTACCCGCTAAGGGTGTGCTCGCATTCTAACCGAGGGTTTGCAACCAGTTAGTAACGGGCTGGCTATTAACTCGCTCTGTGTCCACATACCACACGTTTGAAACGGGGGTAGTAATTCCACTCGGCTTCAGTGTCATACCCTTGTCGGAGAATGAGGTTACAGCGTCCTCCTACGAGTCCGGATCAGATCCTCATCTTACGAGGGGGACGCACACCCGTCTCTCCTCATTCTCCTGGGCTGCCTCTGGCACTTACAACCCCCGGCTCTTTTGGGTGCCTGAGACAGTACCAAACCTGACCACATCCACCCCGATTTACCGATTCGAGCACCAAAGCAGTGTAGTGGTTGTGGATTATAATTACAATGGCAGAAGAGTCGTTCTTTGGAGATAAATGATTTGTAATTCTGCGAGAAAGGGGGAACCCGCTGGAAAAGTCTCAGCTAGAGGGTATGGTATAAGTCCCCCGAGCGTGAGGGGTTCCTAAACTGCCTTAATAACTGCCATAATAAGGCCAAGCCTGACCAAGCCTGGAAAAAAGGCATTGCTAACGAGAATGGGTTTTCACGCATAGCCAGTTTTTGGAGCGGTCTTCCTAGCACCAGGCTACAGCTGGGGGGGGACACGACACGAAGCGAGACGGAATCGGGCTCTGCCGGGGCATGGCGTTACGTCTGCCAGCCACACGGCCCGGCGCTTACAGGGAGGGCAGCGGTACAAACGACCACCATGCAGCAAACAAAATTAGTCAGGACCCGCTCAAGGACACACAATTAGTATTATTACCGTACCTTATGCCAACATCCTGCTACTGGCAGTCCGTCTGGTCCCTGCAAAATTGAATGTACAGATTTAGTTTCTGTTGAGGGTGACTTAAGTGTCAGACCCCAAAACCTGAAGCTCCGTCTTCACAACGATGAAAGGTTTAGCAGCACCGTTAATTACCATGCAAAACCCATTTACTGTATATGCACAAAAATAAATAGGCAGGCGATGTAATCTGTGTGTCACACACAACACAAAATTAAATACACTCCAGGGTAAAAGAAAAAAAACAAATAAATTGACACTTTCTTTTTCCTTTAAACAAAAAAGAAAATGTGAGCAAATACAAAATTTGGAACCACAGTTAATTAACTTTATAATCTGCTTTATAAGGTAGTGTTTTTTGCAATCAGACACATATATGGAAAGCATGATGTGGAAATGTATTTTTTGTTAATATGCGCTTTTCAGTTTGGAGGCAGTGATGTAATTTTTTTTTTCTGGATGATGTCCTAATTGTGTTAAATTTGATCCTGCAGTACTTAGTTTCTTTAAGAAATCTTGAGTTGCTGAACTGGTTGAAATAGGATGAGTTGTGGACTGTGCCAAAGGGAGTGAAAATATTTGTCTTTTTCTGATGGAGATACAAGAAACATAACAGAAAATCTGAAAGCCAGAAGAGCTTTCTTACCGGGAGGAAAACACTGAAAAAGAAGGAACCTCTTAGAAGAGGAATGGACTCTGTATGACCAACCCTTTCAAGATACTTTAGAAGAACTAGCTGCCTTCAGCTGCCTTTTCTCATGCTGGATTTTTTTCAGGCTCTTGGATCTCTGATGGCATGAATTCCTGCATGTGGAGCTACAGAGGGCACACATGCACTGACCCTTCCCTCAGAGCCACCTCCAAATTGCCCAGGGGTGGAAAGCCACGAGGACGTGTACGCAGCGGAGATAACTGCTAGTGCAAATATAGGTCAAAATGCATTTTTACATTTTTTTACTGTAAATGTCAGTCATCACATTTTTTGTATTCTGTATTGATTTTATATGTAAAATAGCCTATGCCCAATAAACCAGACGCAGTGAAGTAAGGTTTCCCTCTCCAGCTACTCATAGTGTAACAGGTCAAGTTATTTTCCACATGCTGTCCTATAACATTAGTTAGGAAGCACACACTTTTTTCTGCTGACACCAGTAAGTATTTTGGTCTATAACTATTCATAAAACACAAAAAAAGTGCAACTTGTACATTTGCCAGAGTTGTCGGGGGGTGAAGGGTAAAGGGGGACAAGGCACAGAGCAGTTGTTCGACCTAGAGGGATCCTGACCCGCGGGTAAAGCGCATCCTAACACCGACAGTCACGGGGCTGATTTCTGCCCTGGGTTGTTTCTCCTTCCCGTGCGCTCCAAATACTTCTTTTGGCCATCACAAAACTCCATGCCTTTCTACCATGTTTCACTCGAGTCATTCCAAAATGACTTGCCAATTAAAAAGAGCTTTGCAACCTGCCCATAAGGCTCACGCTCGTGGGCTGAAAGCTATCGCCGAGAACCCGGCCAGCCTCCACCGCACGGTGGGCTGGAGAAGGAAGACGGCATTCCCAGCCAACGCGCAACTAACCCTCGCACGCATAAGCGAGAAGATGTGCAAGTGCTTTACGAACTCGTCACGCAGTAGTTACGTATTGGAGGAATCACCTACTGCGGTTTACGATGCCTTCAACACCGATAGGTCTTGTGTTTTCTATAGAGTTAAGATGAGAGATACTGGGTAAATACAACATCTCTGGGGAGTAAATAAGAAGAGTTGAAGCGGGCCTGCTGCTAGTAATTGGTTTCTTTGACACATATGAAAGTAATTTAACTTTTTGAAAGAGAGACAGCTTACTGCCCTTTTGTTTCTCTGAAGACAACTGCAAATCATCTAA